AAGATTTTGACTCCAGAGACTCCAGATAAGCCTTGAGACGCCTGTATTTAACGGGGCTATCATACCACGTGGGGGTATTAATTATTTCACGTTCAAGCCAATACGGATCATCGTCCTCTTGCTTCTCTGTCAGCGTCTGGAAGAACTTCTTCCACTGGTACATGGCACGCTTTAAACGATAGCTCTTTTGTCCTCCAAACAAAAACTTGATGTAGTCTCTAGCTAATACAGTGATATCCGCTCCATCGATTATATAAATGTACTGGAACCAAGACGACATACAAGATATGTTAATTTTGGGAAGAAATAACAAGGAAGCACGAGGACATTGTCGAGAAAGATGGAACAGGATCAATTTCGAACCCGACTTATCTAGATCCGACCCAGTCCATACAAAAACATACCAAGATCAAAGTCGAACAATCTATTGCATTAGACTATGAGAATATTTATTTATCTTAAGCCTAAATAAACGAAATATATCAGAAAACTGCAGGTATAAAAAAGTTAAGATTAAACAGACTCAAATTAAGTTTCAATTGAATGGATAATAACTCCGCTCGTGGACTATGAGTCAATTGATTCTATTTAAGGGAGAGAGGGAGGAAAGAGAGTACCAGAAACACAAATCCAATAGTTGCCAATATCACTTGCATAAACTCATCCAACATCCCAGAAAGACTTTCATCTTCAGATTCACCAAAGCCATCGCCACCACCTCCATCACCACCAACTGGAGGTTTTCCACCATTGCCTCTATCATCATAATATTCTTGTTTCTGAATCTGCTGTTTCAATACATCCTCAACTGACTGCTCCTTTTTCAAATTTCCCATGGCTTTCTCGAGAGCTTTCCATGGAGAAGCCTGGTGCCATGTTAATAATAAGTGAGCACACATTTTACTAAAAAAATCAGTTCATAGGTTTTCTTAATTCAACAAAAGGAAATGAACTTTGAAATAATGATTAACAAAAACCAGTTTAGCCAAGATAGGGAAAATGAAAGGCTTACACTTTTTAAGGTTCTTAAATGACTAACACAAATCATTTTTCGACCTAACATTCCCCTTATTTCTTATTAGCCAATGACTGTTATCAATCAAAATGCATATTCATGGACCTTCAACGAACATAACAGTGAAAATACGGCATAAAAATCACAAATATTTTGAGTTAACTTTCTTTTATTCTCAGCACCAAACCAATATAATAAGTATTTCTCCTACAAAACTCAATTCCCAAAGGAAGTTTTAATCTATTTGCAATCTAACTGATGGGAATCTTACAATACCAAAGACATGCAATATAGTTAAAATAGGAAATATAATATATAATTTTAAAACATTTCCAAGAGACTCTCTATTTATAAAAATCATCTTATACATAATAAAGAGCATCTTTAAATTCAGAGAGCACTCCAACAATGCTCTCTATTTGACTCTTCATTTTGCTTTTTTCAAGAAACATTTATCTCAATAGAAAAATGAGAGCATAAACTAATAATACGAACTGGATTGTGTATTGTTCATTTGGAAATTTCCCGAAAGCTGCCTTATTTGCTAGATGGAAGACCTATTATATTTCTCTACAACTCTTATCTAACATATTTTTTTAAATGTCAATGTCCAATCAATTCAAATGTGTTTTGAATGATTAAATAGTAGCGTATTGAAATTGGTAAAGTCAAGCCCACTCTCTTTTAAGAAATTCAAATAGAGAGTTTCTTAGAACTTATTTATAAGTATTGACTCTCTAAAATAGAGAGCATCTTATGTTTGGGGAAGCTGTTAGTTCTACAATTTAGCATAGCGTATAATCACCAAAGACATCCTACAATATAGCATATAATCACCAATGTTGCACAGTTAGTTCTTTTTCTTCCAACTCGTATGTGAAATATGTGAACCAGCCATAATTTAAGAAACAGATCAATAAAACTGAACTGAAGGGTAATGTAAGTTGCACCCGCTCAATCATTCCCTACTAACAAAACAATATAAGCATGCAAACTAATAGCCACCTATTGAAGCAATGCATTAGCACAACACATTCTTTGAAAAATGGAATAACAATGTGTTCGTTAAGAATAAATTGGAAGAAAGGACCCCAAAAAGGGTCTTTCGTACTTCAATAAGGTCAAAAGAACTTCCAAATCGAGCAAATTACATGAATCAAAACTATTTGCAAGCAAGGTTATCTCCTTTAATGGCACTAGAACCATTGGCTGTTCCACGTCACAATGTGGTCGAGAAAACAATTACAGATAGGCTTAAAATATGTGGCGTTCTAGGTCATTACTTTAATAGCACTAGAAGAAAATCAATGTCAACCAGACTGGTAACTGTTGAGGACTAATATATGCAATCAGCCAAAAGTTCAAAGAATCAATCCGGCTAACTCTAAATCCAATTCCCTGACAAAACACATTTACTTATGCAATAACTTCAAAATAATTGATAGACAAATCAAAAGAATCCCAAGGAGTCATTTACCTCATTTTCATTCTTTCCTTTACCACCAAATAAGCATACAGGTGCGGATTGCTGGTGCATAAATGTGGCAGAGGTCCGTTTCATGGAAATCTTAAGAAGTTCCGTTCCTGGATAAGTTGAAACCCATGTAGGTTTCTTACGAAGTAGCAACTCCTGAGCTCGAGATGCAGAATTTAAACAAGGCTGGCAGGCAATGATATGAATGCAACTCATCTGAGCGTCACTTTACAATGCACGTGAAGTTATAACACCTACGGTGTTCTTGCTCTTAAACTTTAACTGCACATCCATGATCCAACAATGTTGAAACTAGTTAGAGTTTGTGTCAATATCGAATAGAAACTGAATTACATAACTTTTACTATCTACTCGCAAGATGATTAAACTTGTAAACTCACTTTCCATCCAGATGAAATTAACAGAACACTCTAAGATGCATTTTTCTGTCATTCATCATGTTCAACCATGAAGATCATCACTACCAACACATAACCAAAAAAATCAGCAGCCACAATTAGCCAGCAATACACGGCAAGCTTACTAATTGGATCAAGGTAAGTCTTCATGTCCCGGAAAAAAGAACAGTTTTTCTAATCAAAATATAATGAGCTAATGTAAACTGGACA